TAAACGTAGAAATAGGAAACCTAGAAATATAGTAAAAACGCTGAATAGTACTCCAGCGTCGCGACATGCCGACGTTGGTACGAGTAGGTTAGTCTACAAACGTCGCCTAAAGTAATTGATTTTACCCGAAAGAAGGAAACTCCGCTTTTCAGTTGTCTCACAGTAGGAAAGCCACTGGAAAAATCGTGTCGAATTTCGGCTAGGAGAGGGCGCCCTATTTTTCGAAATTATTTCAAATTAGTCAAATTTGATTGTGTTTGAAGAAACGTTAATTCATCTAATAACTTACTTAACAAAACAAACATAGTAGTGAAATATATTTAAAAGTAGTTGAACAATATAGTGAAATATTTTTGGTGTATTTTGACCCGAACTATAAAGTGTAATTTAACGGACATTTCGTGCTAGACCATTTTTACGATTTTGTACCCTAGTAAATCGTTAAATTGAAACCCAAAAAAATTTTGATCATTAACGCATTTGAAATCCCTGCTGTAAAAATATATAATCTATAATTTCAAATATTAAGATAAAAAATCGAGTAGCTGGGACGCAAATCCGACTCTGGGAACTAAAAGTACCTCCATTTCGTTGGGCTCGAATACTAGCGTGTACGCCATTTTCTAAACATCGGCGATCGTACTCGAAGGTCGTATTTATACCGAACATTTCAAAGAACATGTGTTCAACAAATAATTAGTGTGTATGGAATAAACATGTACAGTTAAAATAAATATTATTACATATCTAACCTTTCCAGTCAGTAATTTATCGACAATATTATTGTTTGTCTCTATTACGAATCGTATGCGAGGCTGAGGCCTAGGATGTGCACATTGGGGGGCCTAGCATTTTCGCGTACCCGTAAACAGGCAGCGACGATTATGCACATTTACAAACGGCTCCAATCCTGAATTCGTTATCCTCGCTATATGGCAAGTAAGTGTACATGAACTAATTACTAACATTCTTCACTGATTCACCATATCATTCACAATTTCACTCAATATACGCGATTTGCAGGCACAAAAAACAACATGTTTATAACAAACTTATAATATATTTAATTAATAAACCAGTCATATACTACTATAAAAATATGCATACATGTAGTATAAGAGACAGGTGTTGTAATGTATTACTATTATTACCTTACTTACCACGATAATACTACTACACCACTAGATTTGCCTAGGCCTACCACCAGTACCAGAGACCCGTCCCTACTATAAATAGGCCGGCCTAAAAAATCTAAAAATAGTATACAAATTAATGCAAATAAATCTGAATCCATAACTAGTAATTACAGTATAATTATTATACAGAAATTGTATTAAATAAACATGGTCTAGGCCTAAACCACCCTGAACCACAAAGCCTCTGCCTTCAGACGCCAATCGCATCGCAACGGACCCCACCACCTGTCTCTTATACACATCTAGATGTGTATAAGAGACAGGGTCTATACACAAGATGTCATGAAACACATAAAATCAACATATCTTTTATAAAAATAACACTGAATAGAAAAGACTAATATGAAGGCTTCATTATAATTTCATAAGTATTTTTTGCTATTAATTTGAATTTAAAGTTGGTTTTTAATTATAAACTACAAACACCATTATATTAAAAAAAAAAACTTGTGTTAAATTTGTCAAATATACCCTAACACAAGAAAAATTTTTTAATTTATTATTTGTTCTAGCACTTTCTGTTAACAATCCAAATGAATCATTCCGGTATAAATAAGCATTCAAAAGAAACTTACACAACAAATAATAAGTATGAATACTTTTAAGACATACTTTTATATGACTATTAATGCAACAAAGCAAAGTTAATACTAATCGATAAAATATTGATTTAAATTGATGTCACTGCTAAATTGTGTTTTCAGCATGTTTTTGTTTTTCTATAGGTGAGGCTATTCCAAGACATTTGAGGTATATTGGAGTTCAGTGGTTGAATGAGTTTTAGCACCATTTAAAGTAGTTGAAATTGCACATTTGTAACTGTCGTTGGTCTGCATTCGCTCAAGACTGATTTCTTTTTTGCAGTTTCAAAACTAATGTCCCTAAAATGAAATATACTAGGTTACAATAATAGAATAATGTATCTATATAAATAATGGAGACATAGTATGCTTTGGTATATTTTGATGAAAGAGAATTATTGCAGAAAACTACAATAAGTAATAATAATTTACTATATTTATATACAGTATATAATATGTACATATATTTACACAATGCTCATAAAACCATTAAATGTTCTTAACACCAGCCTTATCAATAACCTGACGTTTCTTATGTTTCCTAATGGTGATTTAAAATATTTACCTTTAAATAATACATAATAAATTTATGTAATAAGTAACTGGAAGTCAAGGTCCTCATTATCATCGCTCAAATTGTCGACAGAATCATCATCGCTTACCTCTTCAAGGACCGCCTTCCTTGGTAGGATGAATCAGCTTACAGTTACTAAAAGGCATTATATAAAATTGACTTATACTTACCTCCTACAATGCAAGCATTGCAAAACACTCACCTCAATGTTTAAGTAAGCCTATCTACAAGTATAAAAAAAAAATAACAAAACTTAGCTTCGTCCATGGATGAACATTTTCGCCTATTTCAGCTGAGACATGCCACTTCGAGTCTGCAACAGCAACCATAATCTGTCCATCACAATTTTATGTCTTTGTATTCTAATAAAATAGTATAATAATATTTGAAAGAGTATGTTGTGGTTAAAATTCAATGAACATTATCATCAGATATCATAGTTTTATGCAATTTATTTAAAAAAATAATTTTTTTTTAGCTTTTGACATAGTGGACTTAAATCAGGAGACACAGTGTTGTAATGTATTATTACCTTACTTACCACGATAATACTACTAACCACTAGATTTTCCTAGGCCTACCAGTACCAGAGCAGAATCCCTACTATAAATAGGCCGGCCTAAAAAATCTAAAAATAGTATACAAATTAATGCAAATAAATCTGAATCCATAACTAGTAATTACAGTATAATTATTATATAGAAATTGTATTAAATAAGCATGGTCTAGGCCTAAACCACCCTGAACCACAAAGCCTCTGCCTTCAGACGCCAATCGCATCGCAACGGACCCCACCACCTTGCGGTCCGCTGCTGCGCTATTACTCACTGCTACCTACCACTACCGCGTGTTCACATGTTCAAAATATTGCCTAGCATTCTACGGCCTAGAAGTATGATTCACAATTTTTGATCAGTATTGAAACAGGTCTTACCCGAATAATCTATGAATAAACATCATAAATCAACACTCTAAAAAAATTATGATTAGCTGGGACGCAGCTCTGACTCTGAGGAAAATGGTAAATAAACGCATAGTCAAATCGTACTAAATTTCAACATTCCACATGTGTCAACATCAATCGATGAATGCTTTGTGTTAGCGTCGCTTCTGTCGAAAAACCACGATTGGTTCCGAAACTAGACTTATAATGAAATGTTTTTACCGTATAAGGAAGTCATGGGCAGGCCTTGTCGATTAATGAGAGTTTTAAATAAAGCTGCATTATTTTGCTAAGCGACCATAAAACGTGGTTATGTTTTTGAACGATAGGTGGCGCTGCGCACACCAAACACGGAAGTGAAATCGAAAAATCGTGATTTAACGGTCAAATCGCCTATCGGCTGTCCCACTGCTCAGGCGATTGATTTTTGACAAACAATGACCTTTCAGAGGTCAAATTGCTGTCAAGAATATGAATTGGCTGCTTCGCAGCAATTATTTCCAAAATTTATGGCCTAGTAATTTTTCTGGAACACAGGTAGAAATTGAAATAAAAGAATTAGAGTGGGTGCTATTTACAGTATTTTCAAACATTCTTTTTCTGTTATACTTTACCATTGATTGTTTATAAATTCAGAGTCATGATAAACCTCTTTGTAAACAGGCTTGTTTAT